TCTCCGCTGAACATGGTTGGCCCTCACGTTTGATCATCGGGTGCGAAATCTGACTTGCCAATGACCGTTTCAACATGGGTACATGGGAAACCCGTGTTTCGAAACACGGCATCGGATGCCGGAAAATTAATAGTTGAGTGAGTCTGCAGACCGCAGTCCGGAGATGAGAACATTGAATTCGGAACGGTCGCATCTAGGTGTCAGCAGTCGGGAGATACTGTCTAGCCAGTAGCGTGACCATCTGATAGTCTCCGGTCGCATATACAGCCCAAATGACCATGATGCAATTTGAAACCCGTGAACACCTCGCACATGACACGGCGTTGATTATTGAAAATTTCTATATCAGTCTATGGCGGGATGATAATAGGGTGCCTTCGCAGGTGCCGAGATGACACGGGCTGAAACATATACTAAGCTGCAACATTGAATTCAGTACCAGAACCAGAACCAAACCTACAATATTATCCAATATATTGTAAGTTGTATTCCGCATACGGAGGATGTACATCGAAGCGGCAAACGAAACGGTGTTTCCAGCAGTTTCATGTTCATCGCAATAACCCCAACCACAAAGCATCTAACCATGGAAATATCCGTCGATGATCACCGAAAGAGGGAGGAGATGGGCACTATTAGCGTTATCTCGACAAAACACAACCTACGTCATCGCGCAAGAACCTCCAATATACCGTTCTATCATTCGCTCGATCGCCAGCCAATCCCTGTGCAATATGATGCCCGTTTCAAGCTGGGGCCATTTTGTAGGCGACTCGAGCGGTTATGAGAATACAAGGACGGGATTAACCGGTCTGTGGATGAAGTTAATATCCATATCAGCGATGCGCTTTGTTCGACCATGGGTTCCAAAATGGGGCTTGTGCTTCTAACTTACTTTCAACATACAGTATACGTTTCAGGTGCTTATTCGACTCTCCGCACTAGTGACATCACAGGAGATGGGCATGGTATGGTGGTCAAACGCGTGTCTGGTTGCTATGGCAGCTTTTGCTTTGATCGTGACTTGCACGAGCCGTGTGGTGTTTCCTGAGGTGGTTCTGCGTCGATCTACTGTATGTCAGTGCTTGTCCTACGATGTACGACATAGGGCTTGTGATATGCAATATATTGATGATATATGGCCGTGCGATGAAGACAGTCAATGTTTATTGGTGATAATGTGGGGTCTTCATTGTCGGGGATCTTCGTGGGTGTTGAGTTGTATAATGCGACACCAGCACTAGTAATGACTATTTTCATATGAGAAATTTCGTTGATGGAATCATGGGGCACGAGGATGATTCTTTTTATGCTCAATACTGCGTTAAGATAGTCGGACTACTTTCTTCTGATTCGATATCATCAGCATGTAGGGAGGCACAACTATATATCTCCCTAAACTGGAAACTGGAGTTACGGTCAAAATACAACGTATAGGCGCTCATATGGGTTATTAAACAGTTCCTTATATTTTCCTTTCATGTTACTGCATACGAAACGAGGTTATATCCTAAAAAAATCCCTTTAGCACCATTCAGTTGTTATACATGTGTCACTAACCTGCCCTGTCCCTGGATTTGATGCTACATAATATGGGTCACGCATCTCTCTCTGTCTATCTCTTGGGGCAATCAAATAGTGCGTCTAAAATGTCTGTTTGCAGTATCAATTTAAACCATGGTACCACGCAGCAATATTCAACACTTTCCCTCACCGAACTTGTAAAGAATCCCCCCCAACAACTAAATGACCTCATTGATTGGACTCACAAATTGCACGCAATGGATACATACCGTTTACTTAACAGTTGATCTAGGTCGTCTTGATTTTGTCGCCGCCGCTATGTGCATGCCAGCCAGTAGTACGCCTTGCCTTTCATTTACCGATATACGGAGGCAAAAGAAACAGTGGTCATACTAGGACACTCGCACGAAACTTAGGATTGAGGGATCAGAGATATGAGTCAGATGGAAGTAAGCGAATATCTTTGATGCTTCGTGCACATATCTCATGAGGCTGAGGGGGCGGGGGCTGGCACATCCGCTTCCATTTTTGGTCCCCAGTTTCCTTTGGATTTCTATCGCACGATATAATATACTAAAATATTGACAAAAAGTGCCAGTTGATGCCCATCTAGTAACCTGGACAGAGAAATTGCGGTTAAATAATTATCAGCCTTAGGGCGCCACATTCAAGCTTACTAGTCTCCTTTGATAGATGCCTATTCCCTCCCTCAATTCGAGCTGAAAACCCCACCCTTTATATCTTCAACCCAACTTTCCATCCTAATTGTCGAAGCAATGGAATATTCCCCAACATCTCCTCGCTCGTTTGCCACCTCTTATGTCTCCAACCCCCGCTTCCATCGCTCCTTCACGATCGAGCCAACTCCGACTCATGGCCCTCTCAATGTGACTTACGCCGACTACGGCCGCGAGCCCGATGAGAACGGAACTACTCCGACACTACTTCTAATGCCGGGCATGTTTTCATCCCGGTACATCGGAATCTGTCTGCACACGATTGCCGAGAAATGGGGCGTGCGCGTTTTGGTTGTTGATCGGTAGGTGGACCTAGGCTTAGTATAACATGAAACAAGCTCATATCGTATATAGTCCCGGGATGGGGGGTTCCACCGACGTGCCGCTGTCGCAGCGAGTTTCCACCTGGATCGAGACCGTCCCACGGCTTTTGGCACATTTAGACATCCAGCATGTTTCGTTGGCGTCGCATAGTGCTGGCACTATTTATTTGTTTAATACCCTCTATTATTGCCGGGATATCCTGTATCCTGAGAAACCAATGGTCAGCCTGCTTGGTATGTCGCATTTCCACTCTTTTTATTCTATATTGGACGGACGTGTTCCAACGTCAAGCTTGAGATCTAACCACACGATAGCGCCGTGGGTCGACCCCGCCAAATCAGGCATTACATCTATGAAAATGGCCCAATATATCCCTACTCCAGCCTTCAAGCTGTGGAATCGTATCCCACGTCTCTTTCTCGCTAATGATGGCTCTGCAACAGCGACGAGTGGAGCAATGGTTGCTAAGCTCTCTGCCTCCTTCCCCTCAAAGAGTGGTGATGACCAGGCGAAGAATCGTCTCTACATTGCGCAAAACTACGGATTAGACCTGGACCAACAGAAGGAGATAGACTCTTTGATGATGCAGGGGATGTTCAAGGAGAACACAGTTGGCTCTAATAGCGAGGCGATGCAGTGTCTACGGAAGGAACCTGACACGTGGGGCAAATGTGAAGACTATGAGGTCTTTGTGCGCGAGTTGGCTGAGCTCGAAAGAGGGAGAGGTGGAGCGCCATTGAAAGTTCAGGTATTCTTTGCTGAGTCTGATAGCATGATTGGCAAGAAGGGTCAAGATTATGTTGAGACATGCTGGCATCAAATTGATGATGGGGACTTGGGTACAATTGAATTTGATTCGAGGGTGACATCTGGCACTGACCATGATAGCTTGGTCCCGTCTGTGGAAGTGTGGGAGAGCATTTTCAAGAAAATGCAAAGAGCAGAAGACGATAGCTCAATGTAGTTCTTGGAATAGCATTAGCATTTTTATATGATCCGATTACCATTTTCCCGCCTGGTTTCAAAGGCTTGTTTCCTAACAGATTGAGCACTTGTTCGCTATTTGCAAGGTATAAATACCCTTGCCTTTACAAATTGAGTGGACCTTGTTGGGACGGTCCTCATCCTCCTGGCAGACTAAGCGCTTGTTTGATTTATGCGGTCTCTATAAAAAGACCTTCTTTTGCTAGTTTGAATAGATGTTTATTCCTTCTCCATCTTCCCAGTGCATGGTATGCTATAAAGCTCCAAAAATCATTATTTCGTCGTCTTCTTCTTCTATTTCTTCTTCTGGACCCCCCTTCCTTGGTAGCTCTGTGTAGCCCAACAAACTTTACCTAAGAGCGGCCGAACGTCTATATATATACGGTACATAATATATGAAAGAGTGTGTCAGAGGTCAACATTCCAGGAACCAGCACGAAAAATGAGCTGCACGAAGCCATTGACAAGAAGAAGATGGCTCGATAGTCCAGAGCCAGCTGGATGGCATGGAATGGCTTTGCTGTTGGATACGAGGGTGACAACTACCGCATTTGTACTCCCAGAACTAAGATATCTGTCTTTTCTTGCACCACAGTCGTAGGATCGGATCCGAGCATCTCCATGGACTGGCCATTTTGCACTATCTTTACCTGCTTTGAGGCCGCAGCTAGGCCAATTTCTGTCGATATAATAACTGCCCTAAAGATGTGAGCTTCTTTAAGATTCCTTTGAGATTTCTCCAAGATTTCTTTCATTTCTTTGTCAAAGTACCACTGAAAATGCAATACTAATCCGTCTCTCCAGTCACCTGCAACATCGGCGAACAAATTATATACGATCTCGATCTCTTCGTCTCAATCTACACAGGGCGTGCAACTGTGTCATCTTGACTAAAACTAGAGCTACGAAACATAGGCCGTTAGTTGATGCCTTAGGGTAGATTCTGCGGAGAACCATTAGAAGCAAGACACTAATCTCATCCCACAGATAACATCTAAATTCGATCCAAAGGTTTCTCATGTTTTACACGGATATAAATGATCGATACCACAATGATAAGCAGGCCTAAAAGGCCAAAAGCCGCATTAAGAATGGCTGTCAACCCCTGGGAACGAACGACGCAATCATTTATTCTGAAATCTGTCTAAAGGCTTTACATTGAATCTTCTAAAACGGCCACCAAAATCATCGGAACAGCAAAGATCGCCGTCAGTCACGCAGACGCAGCGGCCTAAGGCCAGAATTGGTAGAATATCTGAAAGAACAAAAGAAGATACACCAAGATAAAGCCGTAGAGAGATCGTATCAAAAAGTGCAGAAAGAGTTGCAGACTCAGACCTGCTTCAGTGTTCGATCCTCTTCTCGCAAAGAGCGGGTGGTATGATCCGCTGATTACGACGACTCCAGAGAAAGGAAAAAGAGTAGAAGATTTTATTTCCATTTCCCAGCATCTTCCGTTCCCTGGGCGACTCGTTTTGCCCCGTTCTCAAGACCCGAGCCTACATTACCGAGCGCATTCCCAATCGGCTCGCCAGCGCTCCCCGTCGCGCTTGTGATGGTATCGCCGACACCTCGCCCGGCTGTACCTGCTACTCCACCCACTGTGCGGGTGACACCGCCGAGTGTGTTTCCAAGTGTGGAAGTGACGAATTTGGCAGCTCCGGTGGCGCCTTTGTCTTGGTTGGATTCGTTGGGCATGATGGGTTTGGATTTTGTGGTAGGTTTCAGTGGGTTTGAAGGAAATCGAGTTTCGGGACGTAATGGGATAAGATATAGTACTATTATAGGTGAATGTTGATGAAATAAAAGAAACAGGTGGCAGAAGTTATATTGGAGCGTGCGCCCTATGACATCATTGGGTGGCACAGTGGCACGTATCCAGGGCTACAATATAGATCGGTTGCTAACTTACAGGTTTGAAAAAGAAGAGAATGCTAGCAAAAGAAGAGCCTCGCATCCAACAAGCTTCATTTCTTGAAAAACAACTTCTATCTCTCCCTCTGCCTTGAATCCATAAGTATAAGCACGCGAATGGCAGATTAACCCTACTTCAGAAGATCACCAGTAACCCGATGCTTGAAGGAGTGACAGTAAGAAAAGCTTCTTTCACATGAGAGGTGTATAGAGGAAGTGCTCCGAACATCGGTTCCCTCGTCACCGCAATCACAGGCTTTCATACTTCTATTAGGGATTTGAGCTTGTGTTGGCTTCACCCAGTATATGGGCTACTAGTCAACAGCGCCACGAAGAGGCCCAAGCTCGTTGCTGTTGGGGGGGCATGCTGAAGTCTTTCGACAACAGACAGTGCTCGTTAGAAAAAAATCAACTGTCACCCGTTACAGGCGCGCAGGTATTTTGGCAGTCACCATTGTAGGTGCGCACATCCTCTGGGCAGTCACCTATTGCGGGTGCGCACATCCTTTTGACAAAATCAACTGTCACCCATTGTAGGCGCGCAGGTATTTTGAAGATCACCCATTGCAGGTGCTCACGTCTTCATGTCACAAGGGCACATACCCCTTTTTGTGCCTTCCCAAGTCCAGCGGATGGCATTGATTCTGTTGTTAATTAGCAGAAGGAGCCAGACCGCATGTCACTTGAAAAGCAACGCAGAAGATAATTATGGCCAAGTCGTCCATATGAGCTGGATGAGCCATATTCCACGGGCCGTACCTAGGCATGATTTCATCTTCAGGAATGGCCCACAGGATTTCGAGGGCTCATTCGATGTGTTCTCGCTTTTCAGGTACGTATCTAGGTACGTGAGATACCGATCATCGTAGTAGGCAATTGTCAGGAAAATCTCATGATTATCCTGCGAGACAAGGAGGAGTTCTATCGTGGCCGGTCGGAATATGGCTCCTGGCAGTGCCATCTCATCAAACTCACCGACGAGGGTGGCACTTTCGGTCTTTGTCGTCGTGCATGATCCGCACAATCGTCTCGCTTGTCTCTTGCCATAAAATATCCAGACGCTTATCTGGATCCCTTCTGCAGATTTAAAACTGTCAGTTTCCAAGCCAGATGGAGATTTGGTAGGGTGTGGAGACTGGGGTTTTGGAGTTTCAACTTCTCTGCGCTTGCGTCCCATTCCTGATCGTCTTCCGGCACGTTGGGTTTGGAAGGGATGGGATTTTTGGAGGCCTCAGAGAGGGTCGGAGGCCGTCAACATGTAAAACAATATAGCTTTTTGCTCGAGAGGTTTCTGGGAATGCGATGTAAAAGTAGGAATCTTGGATGAGGAAATGTGGCGAGGCTTCAAGCTGCCCTGGAAGGTCCTACATTACATGGCAGGTGCGTCCCTATAGACGTGCAAGAATAATTCCCATATACCTCCAAGTTGTGACGTGTTTTGTCTTTTCCAAATCTCTTTATTTTAAATGTCTTTTTTATAGATATTTCGCCCTTGGTGTTGGAACTTCCAGTCCAAGGTGTCTCACCAAAGGCTATAAGGGATTTATTACTTTGTTCTATGCAGATGGTGGAAGTGAAGACAGAACAGTAGTAGCTGTAAACCTTGGAAGATATAGATGACTCCGACCTGCCCATGACCTATCAAATTGTTTACAGTAGTGTTCCAAACGAGCCAGAAAGGCAACTTTCGGCCCGTCGCTATGTAAAGATAAAAAGGCACGACGAGCGACCCGTCGGTCTGGCCTTTCTTACTCCCCCGTAGCGGCAGTGCCAGCATCTTCATTACGATCGCCTAACTAACGATTAGCAAATCACGTAGCAACGAAAGGCACTTGAAAAGGTAACCCACCATCATGAAGAGACCACTGGCTGGATCACTCCTTTTTCAAGATCGCTCGCTCCGGAATCGTCGGTTGCGAGTGCACGTCCCGAGCATTCACTAACCTTCGCCTAGAACGGCACTTCCCTCACAGTGAATGGACGCGAGAGCAAATGTGTCTCGTTCTGCAAATTCAGAGGCCAGGTGCCAGGGTCTGAACAGGGGCAACTTCGTCAAGTATAGCGAACAGAATGGCTTTGATGATGCAGCGCGTAGCTGCTTCGTTCAGGGTCGAGAGAAGTAGGTACCTGTTGCTAATCTCAACCATTTGCCCTATCAGGTATTAGTTCTAGCTATGTAAGAGCATCGAACATATTGGAGAAAAATGGCTAGGAGAACGACTTACGAGAAGCGTTAGGGAGCTCCACCGTCTCAAAGCGGCACTGGGGGCCACGGCTGGTTTTGGAGGGATCCTTCATCTTGTGCTTTCAGTCCGAGCCCAGTATAATGTCGAACCTTGTTGCCTCCGCAGTTGCGAGCGTTTGGATGGGTCCAGCATTGTCAAGTGATTTTCGTGCCAGCCAGTGAAATGACATGACGGCGCCTCCTGTAAGATCATGCCTTAGTATCCTTCGAAAGGAATATATTGACTTGGAGGGTCACTGGCATAGCGCAACAAGCGAAAGGCCCACCAGGCCGGCAAGGGAAACGGTATGTCCCGTTGTTTCGTTGAATCGGACCATCATTCCATGATACAAGCACTCCCTCCATTGCTGTTGCTCCGTGCTTGTTGCCGTCACCAGTTTTCGAGGCAGACAGCTAACTCTTATGATTAGGCAAGTCTGCCAAGGAGAATGGTAGGCATGATATCCTGAGCAATTCTCTAGTGCGAGCGAGGAAAAATGGTCCGAGTGAGAGGCTTGGTAGCCTTTGGTTGCATATTCAGATGTTATGCACCTAGCAAACTCACTATGCGGCCCAATATTCATGAGGGACTGTGTGTTATGGGAATCAGGCATTGATGCAGCCTCGAGTACTTGCGATCCCCTCGGAGTGGGTAGATTCTCCTCGTCATGATAGTCAAATCTCTACACAAACCCGCTCGTTTACCGAGATGGAATGAAACAATACAATGAAGATTCTTCCCTAGATTGCCGCACGATTTTGGACGGCTCTACAACACCGTAGGAAACAACTTACCCAGGGTCCCGATCAGGTAGCGGGTTGAAGCCATTCAGAGCTGAGCCTGCAGATTTTCATATGGCGCCTCGAATCGACCTCGAAAAATCCCATGATCTACCGAGGCGAAATATTTTTGCCGACACCCAGATTGCGCTTCGAAGGAGACTCAGTACAGCCAGAAGAGTATTGCCCGGAAGCACTACCAGAAGGATCATGATATCCAATCTAGCCGGCTACTTGGAACTTTCGATGAGCAGCCTCATATTGATGTGCTGCAATGGATTGCAATTTATATGCCCCGTGGCCAGAAGCAAGCTGGCGCTGCACCATGTGATAGGACCTAGATAGGTTGGTAGCTCTCTCTCTCTTCTTCTCTGGTCCGCCACTCAATACATACATAGTTATCTCTATTGATTATCCATTTGTATCGTGTCTCCATGAAGTAAGCTTGTCTTTCCCTCTCCCTTTCTCTGTTTGACGACTTCGCTGACATATTGTCACAAAACAAAAAAAGAAAACTCTTCTTACTTTGATAAGCTATAATGACCCACGAGCCCCGTTCCTCGCCCAGGCATTGGCAGCATTACTGGTCAGCATTTCACCATTAGGATCGTTGAGTTTCAGAGTCCTGGTTTTCAGGGTTAAGCGATACCGTTCTGGTCTTACGTGCCACCCGTAACTGAAGTATTCTCGACGCCTATAGTAGTAATGGTGTGGGTTGCGGGTGGGTTACAAGCTAGGATAGCGTTCAAAGAACACGGTAGGCCACTGTCTAAACTCTGGTGGGAACTGAGATATGAATTCCGAGTCCTTCCTTGTCAACCTGGGGCTGTTTTTCTCGTAGTCATTGTACCATTTCCGAAGTTGATATATAGCTTCGTAGCTACCGGCCCATGTGTGGACCTCTTTTTTTGCAATAGATAGATATACTATAGGAGAATGAGCTTATTACAGTGTAAAGGGGCTATTCCAGGGGTCATGTGTCGACTTCCTCTGTGAGGTCCGCTGCCTCCGTCTGGAAATCCGCTACCTGGCGCTCAAGGTTGTCCACCCTGTTCCGAGTCTGCTGGAGTTCGATGCCCGATACCACAGACTCGCAAAGGAGCTCTTCATTGTGATCCGGCAGAACTCGGTTGTTGTCCTCCATTCTTTCGACCTGGTGTAACGACCCTCCTTTATCAGAGGTTGGCAACTGCTTCCTGTAGGTGCTTGATTTCCTTCTCAAGCTCCTTTTTCTCCCTCGCAAGATCAGCCGCATTAAAATCTAGCTCGTTGTACAGGAACTCCGTGCAGTTCGCTATACTTGTCCTGCAACCTCTTGCTGGCCCTGAGATAGCCGTCCCTCTGCTGCACACACTCGACGTATCGTTCTGTTTCCGCCTGCACCGTTGCACACTCCACCTGTTACGTCGGAGCTGCTGGCTTGCTTGGCACAGTAGGTGCCTTCCTGTAACGAGCCAAAGGCGTCGAGACGGGTGAGCGCTGCAACTCAAGCCGGAGGGACCACTCCGGGGTGTTTTGGTTCCTCGGGATTTCGGACATTCGATTCGTCCTAAAATAGCACTGCTCAGCCTCCGGAGTGAGCTCGACGAAAGCCTAATCATTAATGCGTTAGTCATGGACCAAGAGACCCGATGTAAAACGGACGTCACCTAGAACGTGTGGCGTCGCCTGGATGACTGGGAGCGTTGCAATAGAGTTATCTTCCAGGTTTCCACGGCTTCGAGTTGGGATGATGCGCGAGGTGCCTCGCCAATGAGGTGCCGTTAGTTCCCGGATTAAGCTTACGATCCAGGCCTTCTATTGCTCTAGTGCTTGTAGGTGGTCCTCAAATTGGTCAGGGCAGGGTCCATCTTCGCTAGAGATTCTATCGTGATTGCGTCTCGCCGTCAATCTGTTTGTGTTTCCTTCTCGGCCTGTAGCTCAGCAGCAATATTGCATGACTGTCTGTGTTGATCCGCTGCTATTGTCAGGCCCGACTCAACCGTCTTGGCGCACATCACTGACGACGGAATGATCGTAGGTGGTTTGGTTAGGGCCGGTTACGGAGCTGGGATGTTTGAGCTAGATCCCGGAATAGCAAAGTTGCCGTAAACCTCGTAGCGAGTATCTCGGGTTTGAATTAGAAGAAACTCAAGCTAGACTAGCAGAAACCCGAGCAATTTTGTTGCCATATAGACGTTCTCGTCTGACAGCTTTGTCCCGTTCGGAGGAGGTGACCATCTGGTGAGCTGGAAGAAACACGACAAAAGTAGTTCGATTATCATAAACAAAACCGGGGACAAAAAGCCCTGCCTGTCAAAACGCGGTAGGGGTATCATTTCATAAATAAGAAAAGGACATAAGAAAGAAGTGAAAATGAGAGGAATGTGAAAGAAATGTGAGAAAGAAAGAGAAACAGAAAGGAAAAAGAAAGGCCCTTTTAGAGGCGCCGAATGCCTCGGCGGCCAGAACTCTGGTGGCCCTGGCGAACAGAACGTCGCTGAGAAGCAGGTTTGCGGCGGGTCGTCTGTTCAGTGCTCTCTGCCAGCTTCGCCTTCTGTTTCTGCTCTCGCAGCTTGCAGGCTTTGACACCACGCCACCATCGAGTAATCACGTCACATGCCAACTCCACCCTGGCGGTGGCGATACCACACGCGTGCTTATTTCGTCGTTCTGTAAATGACCGCCATGCCCGTTGAATAACGATGGCGGAGAAGGCACGCTTTAAGGCAGAGGCCAAAGGATTCCCAGCAGGTGGTGAAGGTTCTATCTTTTTGGGCGCTCTGATGACATTTCCTCGAGTTTCACCTAGAGCCACTCGCTTCAGTGGCTCTATTTGGGCTTCTTTTGACTTGGTTGTCATGCGTGCTCTGAGACTAGCGTTTTGCACGACTGGACGGGCCATTTTCGACACCGGTGAATGATCTTCTGATTTGCTTTTTTTGTTGGTGATGACGGAAAATCCAGGAGGAACGTTTTCCTTGCCGCCACCTGTTCCAGGGACATCGACCGTTGTCGCCCTTGCCTGGACAACCTCAAAATTTTGCTGAAGCGGAGCTTTGCGAGTAGATCCAGCCAACGGCTTTTGTACCTGGTGTCTAGCACGTTGCGACTTGAAGCTGTTGATCTCAGCATCACCTGAGATATGTGGAACAGTGTCTTTAATTTGCCGCTTGGGTGAACTGTAAAGACGCATGAAGCTGATGGGAGTAAAGTCATCAGACGGAATGTATATTGTATCACATGGTCTTGAAAACACCTGCCTTGACGAGCGGGGTGACGGACCTTCGTCGAGAAGACCTGACATGATGTCGAGGCTTCCTAATAAGACGTGAGATTTCATACCGAGATGAAAGCTGGCTCAATTATTTTGAAAGCGAGGGAATGTGTCGGGATTGTTGAGAAGCGGTGAGGTCAATCAAGGGATGGAATCCAACGCGGGGAGACGCGGGGTGAGGCTTGATGTTATCAACAAGCTCGGGCAACGGGACTATGACGTATCAAATCAATAGAGGTCGAGAATCGCGTGTCTGGAACACTCGATTGCTACGAGACCCATGTTGACCTGTGGACGGGTTGTCCAGGGCAACACGTGGGGGTCAACACGTGACAGTATCAAAGTATCGGATGAAATAGGAATAGGAGGACCAGATCGGATCTAGATAGAATGTTCTCTCCAGTGCAAACAAGCAGTCCCACCCTTCATGCGAGAGTACATTCTCAAGTCTTCTTCCCGTTCAGTGCTTGCTGTACGTTCTTACAGATGCAGATCGGTCAAAGTCGGATATGACTCTAGTTCAATATATGTACTTGTCACTCCACCGAGGCGGATTTGGATCATGGTGTTACCAAAGCTGTCATCAGATCAGCCTTGGTTTTATGGACTTCCTTCAACAGGTGCGTCACTAGCCGGTCACGCGTGATGCCCGGGAGCCCGGCTGATGGGAACCTAGCTTCAGCTCCAAAGCCCTGCATCACTTTCGGGTATGAGTTAGTTGTTTCCCGCATGCGCGCTGAAAGGGTCTCAATCAGTCGCTGCATATGTTGTAACTCGCGTAGTGTCACTTGTGCCTGAATACTCAAGCCCATCACCTGGTCATCAACCGAGTGGTCTCCGATCGTGACAGGCTGATGAACCACCTTCTCCAACGATGCAGGGCCCTGGTTGGGCGCGCTATTTACGCTGTGCCCAGAGGAACTGCTGTGGCCATATATGAAGCACGCGTGGATCATCGCGCGGTACCACGCGATTAATCGGGAACAAATAATTGCTAGGATCAGCTGGTTCTGTGGGCGGAGTGCGCAGGCGCACTGCAGCATGCGGCAGACTGACATGCCTGCCTCTTTATTTGCTTTAAGGACAGAGCCAGACATGCGTGGCGGCCCAGGTCCATTGCTATCATAGCTGCCGCCGTTTCGGCGGGAGACACAACTGGTCTGGGGGATGTGGAGCGAGCGAAGGGATTGTGTCGCAGTTATTATGCAAGGAGTGCGATGTTGTGCGAGGCAAGAAACTGCCACAGTCGATGGTGGTGGTGAAGTGAGGATTGAATCCGGAACAGCGAATAGTGGTGTGGAGGGATCGGGAAGCGTGGAGCAATCCAGTGTCGGTTCATCATGATCGTCAAATCTATTGGAGTCCACACGATGTATAGAACCAGTGCGAAGGTCAGGAAGAGCTCCAAAAGACATACATTGAGTTCCTGCAAATGTATCAAAATACGTATCGGGGTCAAGATCGACATTCAGATCGAGATCTAGGTCGTCTATTGATGCATCTGCGAACAGACCACCACCGGACTCCACAGATGAATGAAGGAGATCATCATGGGCAGTACATTGGGCGAATATGGATTGAAAGTCGTTGTTCGCAAGAGACATCGAGTCCTCGAGGCTTGGATTGTCAGGGATTGAGGCTTCCATTGTCGCACGGTGATACTTTTTCCCATTTTCCCCTGACGCCTCAACCTTGGCTTTGATGCTCGGCCCGGGTGGGGCCTAACCCGATTTGGGCTAGTGCTTATTCTATCTTACTCTCGCGTCGAAGGATTTCGGGGAACACGAGGTTACATCGCGGCGTCAGTTTCTCTCGGTCTTTAACCTTGGAAAACATCCCACGTTTCTGAAAACGAAGTCATATCCGGGAGATTTGCCTGGATAATGCTCGAAGTGGCCGATTGCTCCACAGCTTCTCTTGCATACTTCTTATCTCTTGGCAAGGAGGGGCGCAAGCGGGTTGCAGGCGGAACCAAGACCAACGCATCTAGGTGAGGGAAGTTGAATACAAAAGCTATGTAAAGATTACACAAAAAAAAGCTAACTATGGAATTATTTATATCAGCCTCTATCTATGTGCAACCTTTTCATGACAAGCAGGGGCAAACGCCATGAATCGCAATCGCACCCAGAGTTCGCGATCGTCCAAAACCACTCTTCCGGGTACTGGCTCTTCGTTACAGACCCCCAAACTCAAAGATTCCTGCGACAAATGCTCCGCCTCAAAAGTACGTTGTACTAAAGAGAAACCCTTCTGTACCCGCTGCGATAAGCTTGGATACACATGCTTTTACAGCCCAGCAAGACGGGCTGGTCGCCCCTACCGGTCAAGAAAACAGCTCCCAGAGGATAGAGACAGTGAAGAGTCGAATCGGCCCTCTGCAAGAGATATAACCACGACCCAGTTCGTAGACGAGAGCGCGACCCTGTACTCCCGCTTCAATGGTGTCTCCATACCCGTCGGTGTGACATCCAATATCTCAAACTCAGATTCCACTCCGTGCAATAACAAAACGGCACAACCAGACCCCAATATTGCAAAAGACCACGACAGCTTGGATCCGGATTGCATGCTAGTTGCTCTAGACATATTCTCCGAACTAGAAGTGCCAGCAGAGCAATTGAGACGAGCATCCCCCCGTAGACGCAAGCCTTCTCAAGACAACCGCACAAACCATTACAGCAGCCTTCCATCGCCTCACTACAATTTTGACCTGCCCTTGCTCTGAGCGAGCGGAGGTGGGGATGCTCGTTTCGGCAACTTGCATGTCTATCATCGACATGCATGCCATCACAATTTCAAACTTTGCGAAAGACCAGCCTCCCACTGGGCTGCCCAGCCAACAGACGCCATGCAAGAGTCCCAGTGTCGGGTCTCATAGATCCCCTGAACATGAGGCTATGGTTATGCGGGCTTTTACGGAGCTTTCGGAGCTGGCCAGGCTCATTGTACAGCTTACTGAGCGCTATGCCGAAAGCAACGGGGTTCTAAACAGGAAGGATCTAGGACATGGATCGGAGCTGCCAACGGATATCCTCCCAGGAATGGCTACTTTCCTGCGAGAGAGGTTGCAGCAAATCACGAATGATGCTACTCATTGGCTTGGATAGATGTGGATCTCCGTTCCTCAATGTGGGCTCTTTAGCATCCACTTCTAGGGTATTCCAATCTGTAGGTCCTGTTGCACCCTTCTCTTCATGACATTTTCTTATTCTATAACATAAGGTGAGTAGGAGTAATCAAGCCTATCGTATTCGAAGAGGACACATTCAGTGAGGCCCTCTCTGAAATTAGTATATGTCAACGCTAGCGGAATACTACTATGTGGACATATGATGTGGAAACATTAACGAGTTTTCGTTTCCCGACCACACCATATCTCAATTATCCCACACTGCCGTTCACACCATATTGGATTGTATATATGTCAAATCCTGGAGAGGTGCATATATGTAGTGTAATGTGAGGTTGATAGTTGATATTGAAGAGTAGTTGCACAAGCTTTGAAAGTTGGAAGAGTACCGTATGTAGACATATGTACTAACTTTGGAAGGCACCCGTTGATATATACCTACCTAGGTAGTGACTTAGTGACATAACAATGAGCGCGTTACCTACACCACCGCCTGTTCTTCTAATCCATTCTTTTCATTTCCCCCTCAACCACCTCACTTACCTCCCTTCAAAATGACTAAATCACACAAGCTCAACCTCATGCCTTTCTCAGCTCCCTCTTCCAAAGACTTGAAGACCTTGAACCTGATTTCCCTTCCCCTGAAGACCTTCAGGGACTTGGAATCCAAACATTTGAAGTGCCCTTCGACCCGGACGAAGAAACTCTCAAATTTAACCCGTGCTTCTTTCGACCACACCCAGATAAACTCCTTGAAAAATATCCTATCCGTCCTGATGTGGAAGAGGATTATCCTGAGACTGTTATGAAGATACCACCTGCCCGCACCATACAGGAATACATCGCAGATTCCCCGACGAAATATCCCCCACACACCGCTCCAATACTTGAGAATCTCACGGAGGAGGACCGTGATGAGTATGAGATGGACAACTTTGAGTACGACCAAGCCCGGGAAATAGAGAGGGTTATCGATTGTCACCTGCAGGTGCCAAGGCAAGGACCATCCGATTACTTCACGCTTGAACAACTTAGGAACCAAGAATATTGGGGGCAAGTGGACTACAAATCATTGTATTTACACTGATATTTGGAACTAACAACTTATAGGCCGGACTACAAAGCAGGTGATCCTTGGCCTTCGGAGGGCTATTCAGCACCAAGGACATGGGGAGTGGTCAGTCCTTACCGATACACCGATCGCCCGCTCAAGCCTCACTCGCTTATGTCAAGTCTTGCTCACATTCGTCCTACTGATACATGTCGAGGAATCACTACACATGAGCTGAGAGCTATCGTGTGCACGATGCTCCTTCGAGCACGTCATAAACCATTCCATAGATGCCGCATTCATCTCCAGTCGTGTTATCGTGTGATGGTATCTAAACCCTATATAGGTTTTGGTCTTCTCTTACATGGGTGCTCAACAGGGGAGAATCATTCAGGCTTTGTATGATGGAAAGAAGATGACCTTGCAGTGCTCGCAACTATGGAACTTCGGAGACGAAAAAGCTCCACTGGAATTGTTCGTTCGGTATCGTTTGTCTGAGCCAGTCGGTGGTACCTACACATTGTCTATCCGAAGGTGATGTTTTGTTGCTCTGTTGGATCGTAGCTAGCAACCTGACTACCTACATCAGGATGTTCCAAAATGAAATTGATTCATACCTCTATATGTTATTAAGGAGCTCGTCGGCGATATTCGTGGTGTTTTTTTTCTCGGCTATTGATCCCCTATATAAGAACATGATATATACTACTAGAGAGCGAGGTTCTCACATATAATAAGAGGGTCCTCTATTTCTCTCTATTAGGATTGCCCACCACTACCTAGGTAGCTAAGGAATCTCTTTGGTAATAAGGTTATAAAGTTTATAGCTACAGAGGATCTTTTCAACTTGATTAATCCACATATCGAGGTCGGTTCTCTCTTTAAGCGGTGGGTTATTTTGGGGAAGATCAACGACCGGGTTTGCAGCAGCAACGTCTTGCCTTATATGATAGTTTCGGTTAGATTCAGGTCCGGGTTCGTGGACTACGTAGTACAGCTGCAGCAGTAGGTTGGATGATAAACCAGCCATTTTTGCTCATAGTAAATGGTGCCAAAGTAAAGTCAAAGTGAGAGATATAGCGCTCCGTCATGGGGAGATGCTATTCTTGAAGTGGATGATAGGATATAGCACTGTTAGTGCTATCCTAAGTGAGAATAAAGTGAGTGACAGCGGTCTTAAAGGAGTTCTTGTTATGTGTGGATGCCTGGGCCCTAAAGCATCGACCCTCGTTTGTCAGTAACTAGTTACCTAGGTAGTTGTTAGGAGCTTGCTCTCTCCCCAATACAACTCTCTCCTCTCTGCCTCTTTGGTTCCTACACTGTAGAGCCCAACAGTTTGAAGGCAGGATCTAGCACTTTGCAATGCTATTCTTGAGAAGGCCTGAGCTAGCAAAAAAACTAGCAAAGAAACTAGCAAACTAGCAAGCAAAAGGCTCAGTCTGCTTATCACTAATGCATCCATATAAAAAGGATTCGATCCAACAATTCATAATCATCATGTCGGCGTCCTCCAAGTCCCTCGAGGTCTCCAATCCTCTGAATCCTCCTAAACCCAACGTGCCCAAGACAGCTAGCGAGTGGGAAAGAGTCGCACGCAAGTTGAGAAGCCAAAATCCCATTCTACACACCCTATCCAAGGTCAACCCGGCTTCGAAGTTGACCCCTTTGGACTTCGCTGCCATGAGAGCTCTGTGGCCAGAAATAGAAGGCTAGAAAGCTTTCAAGCCTGACTTTGATACTCAAGCAGCACTGAAGGCCGAAGAAGCTTATCACGACTTTCCCGAGCTCCAAGCCTATCTCAGGCAGGCTCAAAACCACGGCACAGATGCCGTAGATCGGGACATAGGTGCTTTTCTCCTCGTGAGAGAGTCCCAGAAACAGATTCCGTCAGAGTCCGCAGAATGGCTCGAAAGGCTCGAATCTGATTCTGTTGAAATGCAAACATCGCGCCCGGAAACACGCAAAAAGCGCAACACTTCTCCACCTGACCAGTACAGCACGGCCTCGGGATCTGGCGCCGAAATGGTGGATAGTTCTTCGAGGTGTCGGTCGCTTACAATTCTGAAATTACGCCCGGGCCAGCCAAAGACGAGCAACTTGTGAACGACGCTCTCCTGCTGTTCCTAGGGGCTGTCTTGGTTTACCAACCTGAGTTAAAATGCCAATGGACAGCACACGGCTCGCCATTTTCTACTGCAGTTTTTGGCAGTAACAAGATGATTGCGCATACAGATGGCTATTTGGAAGCAAATGGCGAAGTCTTCGCTATAGTTGAGGTCAAGCCAAATATCCGGGACCCGCCAGGAACTTCTCTGGCAAGAGACAGATGAGATGATCGCATGGATCATGCACGACGAAAAGCATGGCCGAAAGTGCGAGCCTCGTCGGTGAGTGATAAGACGGCGCTATTAGAAGCTATATACTAACCGGCCTTAACAGACGTCTCATTGTCTCACAGGATAATCACGAGATTTTCCTGACGGTTGCCACCTACGACCGTAGGTATCTCGCTTACCTGAAAGGCGGCAGTTGTTTTTAAAAGGGAGGCGGTATTCATGACACTATACACCTGGGCATCGAGTATGGCTCAGCTCAGTCACTTGGGGAGTTGATCCATACCTACTAATAGCCATAACATGTCGGAATTTCGGTCATAGCATTAGTCTAATCTAATCCAATTGGTCAATTGACAAGGTTAGTCTACAGCAGAAACCACTTCTTCTCTTGCCCTGCGGCAGCCAATCCAACCTTGCCCTCATCGGCTAGTTTCGACAGAACCTGCGCTATAAACGGTCCAGCCATCGCCTCCATCTCGAGCCCGTAGAGGCATATGATAATCTCCCGCGTCGTCAAGGATGTCCTTGTCTTGTTTTTACCCCCAATAAAAGCCGATAAGACTTTCTTTTCTCGTAGTTCCCAGTGTCTGCTCCAGACTACGAGTTTGGCTGGTAGGTCGTCAATCACGGCACCATGCCCAGGGTATCCAACTGTTATCTCTTCATTGCGCGCACTTTGGGTCATGACTTGCAAACTTTTCATGTATCGTCCTAGGTCTTCCACAACAACACTGCTTCCATGTCCAAGCACATTATCACCTGTGAACATGGCGCCGCTTTCCTCCAAGACAAAGCACATGTGGTCTTGACTATGTCCGGGCGTGAACAACGCTCGTAGCGTAGTTCCTTCAGCAGTAAAAGTCTGCCCATTGCGAATCGAATGTTGGTTCTGGTCCGGATGGGCCTTGTAGACCGCCGTGGCCAGCTGTGGATACTGCGCTAGTAGCGCCGGGAGACCACCGGTATGATCGGTATGCCAGTGGGTCAGCAGTACCTGGGAGATGCTCAACTGGTGTTGGTCAAGATAGTTGACCAGAGTGGTGAGCCAGATTGGACACCCCTGTTGACATGATTGTCTTGTTTAGTCTCTAAGGTACTAAATTGGGATGGCCAGAATCACTCACTTGTCCTGTATCTATCAAAATCCGTTTCTGGCCACTTCCAACTAGGTATGTATTGGTTCCTTGTAGTTGCATGTCTCCTGGGTTTCCGCCGAGTATGCGCACCACCTCTGTGCTGAGTTCTGCGACAGCTGGGAGATATGGCAGTCCAGCGTTTCGTGCCGATAGATATTCCTGCCAGCCTGGCTGCATCCACACTTTCGGAGGGGACATTTTTTTTTTGGTGATTGACTCGAGATACCCCGGCAGGCTTTGCGACTCGAGTAAGCAGTGTTGGAATTGAAAGGTGGGGGCCCTTGGGGGCTTTGGTGAGCATAGTTATGCAGGCACATGCATGGCTGCCTGATATACCAGGCCATCATATTCATCTGAGACGTTACAAATATAGGGAAAATTCCCGTGTCCTATTTCTGCGTCCCATTTGGGATTTATCTCTTTTCCTTCTAATACATTAGACAGTTTCAATATTCATAGAGAAGGGAGGCAGACAGGGGAAGAGAGAAGTCGTGGCGGAAGAAAAACACGTAAAAAAAATAACGATCACGACCGAGAACCAGCAGACCTTCGAAAGGTCAAGAGAGCAAAAATGATAGGATGCCCTCGGGCGTTAGCTAATTCCAGGTAGACTAACGCCGAAGGGCACGGAAGGTAGGGACTTAATATCACCTTTAAGGGAATAAGACATCCAGAAAACAGTAGTCACGGAATTTTGAATCTGCTGAAGAGAACATATAATTCTTAACCCTGGTTGTTATGCTGATACCCCCTTCCCCTACTCACCCCCTAATCTGGGCGGTCTGATCATCTTTTAGGATGTTGAGATGAGGTGTATGGCACGTACGGAGTACATAACTTTTCAACAGAGCAGCTAGCGAAAGATAAAGTCTTCAACCCCTTACTTGCTGGAAATTTGCACCTGGTAATCTCTCATAGGAGTCAAGTCTGTCACCTCCAGGCAACTCGGGGCATGACTAACAAGGCAGCTGATATCCTGCGAAACATCATCCCGGCCAAGTCGGAAGAATTCCAAATTTGATCGACGATAGGGTCCTTGATAACAAGAATAAAATGACATGCAGATGTACATCATGCATGGAGTACAGCGGGATTTAAGGTCTAAGCATGATAGCTCCACGTTGTATTTCAGATGGATTATAGATGGCTGTCTGTTTGCCTGTCACGAAGGAAGTAGTCAATCATTCTTAGGAAAAGAAAAGAATAAAACAGAAGCATGATCGTCATTCTAGAAGCATGGTGATCTTCCCCCAAATGGATATATGTGGATGCCATCGATGCCAGGCTGACCTCGGGATTATACTAGATGACTCAGCATTATGCGCATCCATACCTAGGTAAACCGGTGAGGGCTCATGCAGCTTATGGCCAGCTCAACAAGATGTACAGATGTACAGATGTACATTGTAAACCTTGTCGATCCCCATTGATCAGATTGGCTGGAGCCTAAACATGTACATATATATATGTACGTAGTTTTATGTATCATCTAATCTCCTTTAAATTAAATATAGAACCCTTACTCCGTAGCTTGTAAAATCATCGCCAGGAACAGGTAAGTGGGTCAAGTCTAAATTAGCCTCTCGTGACTGGGAGACCTCCTTTCCCCGGACGTGCCTCAACGTGGCCCCAGGCATTTGCAACATTTAACATTTACATTCTTTATCGGTACCTTTCTCTCTGCCAGGCACCTGTCCTTCTGCGACATGGATCTGTAAGCGCCTGTCTTATCACCTGTTTTGCGTCACCACTTCGCCCACCTTCTCCGCTCTCCTGTCACCGTGGCGTGATCCCGCAACATGGAATCAATCGTGTATGAGAACTCGCCTTTGGCCGACTATTTGGAAGGTTTGCTATGTCCGAGATATCCGAGGAATTCAAATCCACTGACATCCGTGCCAGGGGAGGGTGGAAACGAAGAGAGTTGGCCCGTTGAGGAGAACCGAAGCGACGATGATCATACCCGCTCCTCCAACTTTGCCCCTCGAGGGGCTTCCAAGTTTCAGAATCGCGTTCGAAACAAGCTACCGAAGCCTCTCAATCTACGAGGCACACCGCAGGGGGAACTAATCGGGAAACTATATGACACTTGCTCGGTACGACCCCTCGTCTACGATAGCATGGGATCATACTAACGCTCCTTCTCGTTAGTCCGCCCTGAATGCCAGATTAGCACGAAGCGACAATGAACGATTTTTGGAACAATTTGGCTACGTTATTGTCGCATCGCAACTGTTGAATGAACACAGCGCTCCTTCCTACACATCCGCTGCAGATGTCCTATCTGCAAAACAACCCTCAGCTCTCCCGTCCCTATCTACAACCTTTGGAATTCAAGGCGCCATTGTAACAGCCGCTACATCCTTTTCTATCGCTTGGTTATTACATTGGAGCCGTTCAAGGACGGGGTCAGGACTCAGTCTCAAGAAAGTTGGAGTGCTCCTGATACTCGTGCCCGCTGTCGGTGTATTGTTCTATGCTTTCGCGAAACGGCAATGGTTGAAATATCTCCGGCACCAGGCTGTTGAGGCAGCTGGCGCTTTCATTGGAAACGCCCAGGGATTTGACTCTGCTGCGTCAGCTTCCGTGGTCTTCATTCAGGAGGTTGAACTTGTCTCAAGAGGTTATCGGATGTAAGAACACGGCGTTTTCAGTTCAGAATAATAATGAGACTAACGAACTATCGCAGAAGCACTCCTCTTCCACCTATCAGTCGGCTGGAGGATCAAGTACAAACGCGACGATGCTTGAGATTGCGCCGAGCGGTCTCTGAATGCTTTTACTCCATGCTCGAGCGGTATATTCAATCCCAGAACACATTACGCCCACTTACCGATGAAGGCGACCTGGCGAAATATTACGATATTTATGACATTGGACTGGAAGAACTCGAAGCGGTAGAGGCGTCCCTGTCGCAGCGAGCCAACGAAGACCAGTACTCATTGCGTGCTCTGAGGGATCTCTTTGGAAAGCTGTACAGTGTGAGAAAAAGCGTGCTGTGCTGCTTGCTAGCTCTCAGCGCCGATGGCGGTGGCTCCGATATTGCTCGGTGGAGTTCTGCTGTCGAGGAAATGCGCGAGCTCGCTGCGGTGACCGGCAATAGCATGCTGAAAATGACAACAATTTTAAATGAAGAGGACCGTGAGTGCTAATCCCTATTTCATGGCACAAGGACTTTCCCTAACATTCGCAGGTGATACCATTCCTCCATCCCCATTACCTTCCGCCTCACCAAGCAAGGACCACCTGCGTGCTCAGTTTAGACGGCTCAGCTCTTTGTCACAAGGGGTGCGTGCCTTGCATGCTAAAATGCACATTGCCAGCGAGGAGTCACACGCCAATCTAGAACGCGCAGACCCTGATGAGTTCGAAGCCACCCTCCTTGCACAATATGACTCGGTCGGCAGTGATCTTAGAGCTCTTCTCCAAGAGTGGGAAGCTGGTAAAGCCGCATTGGCAAACCAACACGATCGCCTTAGTGTCGGGGATCGATCGCGACCACCAAGCACTTTCTTGTTACCCATGTCCCCCACCCCCAGCCTGGGAGGATCTACGGCAGTCGAGGGCAGTCCAACTGATGCGCTGAAAGCCTTAACTGGCGAGGGCCGGCCGGATCTGACCCAGACCTATGATGACGAGGAAATTTTCGAAGCTGTTGTACTCCCGGCCTCGAGAAACAAGAGGATGTCTTTGACAAGAGACGAGCGTCTTGCACGTGTACGGGAAGACCGTGCAAGACAGGCGATTGCCAGGGAAAAGGCAGATGCCAGCACTAACATGCTCAAGGAACTGGAAATGGTCATCAAGCAGCGACCAGGAAACAACTCTGCGAAACGAGTTACCAGCATCTAAGACCAGTCTGGGCTCTCTGTCTCGTGCTTGACGCATCCCACAGAATCCCTCCATTTTCGTCCGCGCCATCCGGCACAGGTTCGACTTCCACCAGCGCTAGCAGCTATAAGTCACAAATTGATACCCACGACATGTACATATAGACGGGGCTCGGCGACAGCGGCGTTTTATTCGAGGTTTATTGCTTCTTGCTTTTTGGTTCTTGCTACTTTGCTCATTACTTATTTCTTTTGTGCTATTATTATCTGTTCGTCTCTCTTAAGTGGTCTTCGATGATGACTCTTTCGGCATTCATCTCCGTTGAGTGTGAGGACAAATGTTGATTTCTTTTCCCAATTTGTACATTACAGCTGGCTCTACTGCAAATGAATTATCCTTCTAAGGCCCATACTCGTAATTGTTGATAATTTGTCGGCAAACCCCTAGTTACGAGGCTATGTGAAGGAGGCCTTGTTGCCTTAGCGCCTGAGGTATCTAACTTAAACCCGAAAGGGACATATCGCCAAACGCGACCGCGTCTTCCCCACCCCAAACGCGATCCTTATATTAGACCTGCTGCCTCTTTCACCTTCGCTCAAATACATACCCAGTTCACTATCCTCGTCTCCCTACCACCTTTTCACTTCGGAAACACACGCTCTCCCCTCCTATCTCCTTACAACCCAATTTAAACATACACCTACACACACAACCATCAAGAGTAAGTCGGCCAACCCCCAAATCGAAAAGATTGTTGTGTGCGAAGAACCGGTAAATTAACCCACTCTCTAGTGCTCGAAGCACGATTGGAACAGGCAAGCCTTCTGAAGCGCGTATGTGACCTATGCCACTCAGCTAATTCAACAATGGACAATTTACTAACACTATTGTGTGTAGGTCGTCGACGCCATCAAGGATCTTGTCCAGGACTGCAACTTCGATTGCAATGACTCCGGAATCGCCCTCCAGGCCATGGACAACTCGCACGTTGCCCTAGTTTCCATGCTGCTCCGCGCGGAGGGTTTCTCTCCCTACCGCTGCGACCGTAATATCGCCCTCGGCATCAACCTGCTCTCCCTAACCAAGGTGCTCCGCGCCGCCCAGAATGAAGACATCCTGACCCTCAAGGCGGAGGACTCACCCGATGCCGTCAACCTGATGTTCGAGAGTGCAGAGACAGACCGTCTGAGCGAGTATGACATCAAGCTCATGGATATTGACCAGGAGCACCTGGCGATCCCTGAGACTGAGTACGCCGCCACCGTGGAGATGCCTTCTTCTGAGTTCCAGCGCATCTGCAGAGATCTCAACGCGCTGTCCGAGTCAGGTAAGTGACTTTTCCACCGAGGCGATTGCCCGACAAAGAGACCCAAGTCCCGTCGTACTAATCTCTTTCGTAGTCGTTATTGAGGCCAGCAAGGAGGGTGTCAAGTTCTCCTGCCAGGGTGATATCGGTAACGGATCCGTCACCATCCGCCAGCACACCAACGTCGACAAGCCCGACCAGAACGTCGTTATCAACCTCTCCGAACCTGTCGCCCTGACCTTCTCCCTCAAGTACCTCGTCAACTTCTGCAAGGCTTCTAACCTGTCCTCATCTGTCGTGCTGCACCTCTCTCAGGAAGTGCCGCTGCTTGTTGAGTACGGTCTGGGAAGTGGACACTTGCGGTTCTACCTCGCTCCTAAGGTAAGTTCTTGATTATTCCAAGGTCGACATTATGGGAAACCGAGCTAACGTGGGTTTCAACACAGATCGGTGACGAAGAGTAAACGAACAAGCGATGGTTCGAGGGGATATGGGCGATGCTAAAAATGAAGCTCGATGATAATGGAGAGAACTTGGAGGAAAAATGTTCTTTCACTACGTCCCTGGCAACAGGGGTTTTTAACAAGATGTTCACGATAATTTACACATTCAGCGGTCGAGGTTTCGGCCTCGCAAATTTTTCCAAACATGCATCCTTCACCTAGAATTGAAATATTCCTTTCAATTCCTAACGCAGCTACGAGTAAAAGAGTATTCTTAGGGTAGTTCACTGGCCGTTCGGCTAGCAAAAGATATATTTCATGAGCATTTTATGAGTATTTTATTGCGTCCACCACTTCGAATAAAGCCCCCACAAACCCAACACCTAACCCCAGCGACCGAAACCCAGCGACCGAAACCCAGCGAGCCCGCAGGCAAAAGACCCTAAGGAACCTCGCAAGGATGGTCCACAACCCCACTAATCAGCAAGGTCGCCAAAAAAAACTCTTTCCAGAGCCCCCAACATAAAAAGAAAATACCAGGGGGGGAAGCAAGAACTGACCTGAGGAAAAAAAGTGAAGCGCCATCCCCACCAGAATGATCGGAATCGAATGATACCATCCGCCCCTCCGAAGAGAAGACAGAGCAAGGTATGCTGCGTATTGCACTAAAGTGTCATCACACACAATCTTCGCACCGACTCTCCCAGGGGCATTGGGGCAAGCCCCTCCGCCCGATGTTTCTGATGCCAAGTGCAAGTGTGGACAAGAAGTGATCTAGGATCACACCAGGCCCTCACGGGCAGTACCGGCGCCGACGCGCGAAATCGAACGACGACGCGGGTTGTGTTTTGAAGATTCCTCCGAATTTCTCATTTGCAAGGGGTTTCGCGGCTCTGGGCGGGACCCAGAACTGCGAGGACGGGCTGTGAGGCTCGCCGTGTGTAGCAAAGAAACGCAGCATTGGTGGGGATGGCGCTTGAGGAAGGGAAATTTGGCGTCGAGGTGGGTTTGCGGGTTTTATATTGCTGTCACGTGGGATGAGTCATCTTGGCGCTTGGCCCGTTTGGGAATGTATAGGGCAGCCAGTTGTCAGTTGGGTTGGCTGTGCTACTATGGCTTGGATTTGCTGTTTGTTTTTGCATCTACTTAGATTCAAGGCTTGCTTTTGTGTTGCCTATGCTTGTTCGAGGCAATTCGTGCCTAAGTCTAGTACACTCACAGTTTAGGGCCTCCCAGAGCGTTCTGCTCAGCGACGGTTTGAACGCTGATAGGATGTAATTATTGCCGCAGAGGAGCTCACGGGCCTTGACACATGTTTTGGAGAGGGTCACCCAGATTAGAAGAAGCATCCTGGGCTCAATAATGGCTATCATATAGCTGAGACAGCCAATCCTAGGAGGAAGATTGACTCTGTTGTGTGACACTTAAGAGCGATTCCAATGGCGATCATATATCTTGCTTGGATATGCAAATGCTTATGATTGAAGAGAACCCCGGCCCTACGCAATCTCCTCAAAAGCTCGAACGATATACGTCTTTCCTTGAACTTGTACCTTCTCCCCGGGTACTCTCCAAGATCCCACACCCTCCCCATCAAACCCGGCCACCATCGAAGGCAAAGCACCTGCATCTTCGCCAACCAAATACTTCTCCTTCCACCCCGATTCCCACTCTTCCCTTCTGGCACTAACATCAGCGCCGAACTTCTTAACAACCAGATCACCAGATGGAGTCTTCTGTCGCGTATGAATCTGCATCTGGCGCAGCGCCAAATACGTTCCCCAGATGCGACCGATAAAAGTCTTCGTAACCGTTACCGAGCCTTCTTCATTGCTGACATCTCCATCATCCGACTCCAGCACCCACGAAAGACCCTTTTTCGGCCCCTCGGGACCTTCTCTGAATGGCAACTCCCGCCATACCTCCTCATACTCCTTGTCAGGTGCACCGGGGAGATCATGACGAGGCATAGACCCCATCTCAAGTGCATCCCCGTTTGGCAGGGGAACGAAAGTGCCACAATCAATGGTCTCAAAGGCATTGTGAGAGTCAAGTTCATGGGAGAATGTCACTTTCACTATAGAGTCGGTTAATGGGTCGTTCGTGTTAGCCTCGTTGAATGCAATGCATCCTATATACATATGTAGCGCTGGAGGTAACTTACGAGGCTCCTGACTCTCGACAATCCTTTGTCCAGCAATCGCCCAGTCGATTTTGCCAGTTGTCGTTTCTATCCGCAGATCAACGTACCAGTCCTTCACGGACATCACAATTGTGTCGGTTGTTTCCTCAGCGGGCGTTGTGAGCCATCGGAATGAGATTCGCTTGGAAAAGCGACAGGTGGATTGGTCGGGTTTGGTGGCCATATTATTGGATCTTGGAGGACGGAGGTGTTTGGGTTGCTATGAGAGGGTGTGTATATGTAACAGAATAGTTGGTAGTCTGTGCTGGTGCCTTAGAAAATAGGATTGATGCGTGCTGAACTAGATATGTGACAAGAGCTGAATTGGGAATGTTGAAGAGAAGGATGGGAGAGTTACTTATCGTCCCCTCACACCCCGCACCGGCTTGAGTTCCCTTATTCTCTTCACGCACGGCCATGACCGTCGGCAATTTCCAATGAGCATGTCTTCATGTCTACGTATGTACATATTAAAGGAATTACTGCCAAAATCTGATGGATTATCGCTTTTGATTTTTGATAATATTAGGGTTCATGGCAATTTTTGGATACAGCCAAACTAATTGGTCATTCAATATCACTCTATAGCCGTAAACACCAACTTACAGCTCTGCCCCTTGGGCCTCGAAGAGATGATCTGATCATCAAGCTTCATGGAAGCAGTCATATCCGAAGCCACCGTCGTCCGATAACGAGAATACACTTCCCGAAGCAACATCTTCATCTCAACAAGTGCAAGACTAACCAGTATCAGCAAAACGAGCATTAGTAAACCAGAGACTAAGGAACCTTGGAACAACTCACTTTTTCCCCGTGCACCCCCTTCCCCCCGTAGCAAAGGAAAAGAAAAGCCTATTCCGCTCAGCAGCCCCCTCCTCAACAAGCCACCGATCAGGATTGAAACGATCAGGCTCAGGGAAGACACTATCATCCATCCGATGCACTGAGTAAGGCTGACAGCTAACAATAGTATATCCCGGAACGAAGAACCCATTGATCTCCCTTCCACCAGCTGGTACATATCGAGGCAGCGACATCGGAATAGGCGGCGCACACCGCAGCGCCTCTTTAATAACAGCGTCGAGATACACATAGCTATCCAAGGGTGTATTGGCCGGCGCAGCGGCAAGCTCTTTGTAAAGTTTGTGCTGGAAGCAGAGGTTCTGAGGCTGCGAGAGCTCCCACATTAAGAAACATAGACCATCGCCTGTTGTGTCGATGCCGGCTGCCATGTGGTCTTTGCATTCTGCGGCGGCTTGCATTAGTTCCAGGTTTGATGCTTTGCGTTTGAGCTTTTCTATGAGGGAGTGGTCGTCGTGCTCGATTTGGCCCGCCATGTCTAGCACGTATTGGTTTGCTTTTGGGGCGCTGCGGGCGTGGAGGAATTTGGGGAAATAGGGTGCTAATGAAGGGAGGTAGTACTCCAGAAGGTTTTCTGTTTCTCTTTTAGTATCCCTCACTAAAACACGGAAATCGGGCAGTGCATACTTTGGAGACTTTGGTGATAGGTCAGTTCGTGCATGATTTCGTAGTCTTTGGCTACGTCGAGAGATCTGAGGCCGCCGGGGCTGAACATGAAGTGAGTAACGCAGTCCAGAGCATAGCAGTGGAGCAAAGACTGAGAGGATTAGCATTTCTTATGTTGGATGCTGTGATATTTTGACAACTCACATAAACGTCCACACTATCTTGGCCAGCCTCGGCACATTTAGATATAAACGCCATGGCCCGTCCGTGGATAGCAGCCATGGGTTTTTCTTTCATGATATTGGTCATGGCATATCTGTCGGCAAAGATACGTTTTCTTTTGCTATGCTGGTGGCTATTAGCACACGCGTATTTTATTTTTCATTAGGAATAAGTACCTCATCTTTCAATAATGTAGAGAACATTGTCCTAAGTTCTGTATCAGTGGCTGCCGGATATCTCTTTGATGCAAAGACTTACTTGATCTTGAACTGCCTGAAAAGATCATAGTACTCGGTCTTGTCATACCCACTACCCCCCGAAGCATAGATCTCTTTAATCGCATCGAGGCTGGTAAACGATACTTCATCCGGGCCCAGCCGGACGACGGAACCATAGATCTTGTGCAAGCGGTGGACTGATTCTCGTCGATTTGCAGTAAACTCCTGGTACTTAAGCCATAGACTTGTAAATCGAGTGTACCACGGACCGGGAATCGCAGACAAGGGCGAGAGGAATCCGCGGACGACAATATACCCGCAAAGGAAGATAGCTCCGGCCCACAGAGACAGCATATCGTTGTCGTATTAGAGGCTTCTGTGTTATGAAATGTTGCTCTTGAGGGATGGCGAACATGCGATCCTATGCTTATTTATACCATAGATCTGATTGAAGGATCTGCCATTCCATTAGATAATAGACATAAACTTGGAGATTTGATAGTCTATGCTTAAACGGCTAGGATTTGCCGATATCATCGCTATCGGAGTGCGGGGAAGGGCGAACAGGCGCTGCGATAACATTTCAGACTTTAAACCAAAAGGGGAAATATGAGGAGATGACAGGGTTGTCGACAAAGAGGTTGTTCCTAATGGATGTCAATTTACTCTCTAGTCAGCCCTGTCCCGACCTTGCGTGGCACTCATCTCTGAGACATATGGCAGGAGGGAGATGAAGACTGTTTCGACAAAATACCGGATAATCGGAAAATAAACGCAATAGATGAAAAGCATTAGGCCCGTGCCAATCGATTTAGATGTCGGATATCTGTAAGTCCATTCAAAAGATTCGTCCACTACACAGCTTGTCATATACGTTACCAAACAAGCCCTCGGACACAAAGTCCACGCCGCAGCCGAAGTCAAGATAGCCACAAAATAGTTTGAATGTATCTTGAGTTGACCATTAAAAGCTGCTTGGGTGAAGATATTATAGTAATCAATCAACGTTGCGCTGGGTTACAATTATAAGCTGTAGTGGGGCTAAGGGAGAAGCTATGATCTCACATGGATTCATTTCTACTTATGTACCATAAATAGATTATCATCAGTACATTGGTTATCAGCAATATGTCTTTTTGGAGAGCCAAGGGCATTGGCGCTAGTCTTTCTTTAGGCCGTAGTAGACTTGCTAAATTTGGTTCGTCGGTTCTGATAGAGCTACGTAGTGACGATCTTATTAGCGATCCTGAGACACATAACAAACGGGCTGCTTCCAGAAAGACATGATCAGTTTAGTGAGTTGGATATGCTCCATCATATCATGGAACTCTTAGCATAGGAGGTTTCAAAGGTAGAAGATCAAGACCGGGCATTCGTCAGTTTCATTGTCGGACTTGTCTCTACCGAGATACCCTGCTCCGGTGGCCTTTTTATTGATCGGATCCGGCGATGGCCGATCAGATGTCTCACTCCCAAAGGTTCTTTGTGATTGGACTGACTAGCCTTTTTTCTGCCAGGGCCCTATTATGGATGTTGTCGGGCAATTCTGGAGAAAGTATTGGAGATAAATCAACATCGGTTGGCGGAGATGTTTCGCTCGGGCGGGGGATCTGTCGGCGTCGATTAATGCATGGTTTATCTGACTTTACAGAATACTTTGCATATGAGTATTTCGAACGAGGGTGGAATCTTTGGCTGGCTGTAATAGGATCAAAGTGGACCTTAGGGTAATTATCATTCGCACACTCAGGCTGATCGGTGGATGCGGTGCCTTGGCGATCCGGGCCTGACATGCGACAGCACTTGCAGTTGGCAGTTTTAGGCTGAGAATGAAGATGAAGTGATAAAGAGAACTAAATGGAGCCATATGAAAATAAGATCTAACAGGTACTAAGGTACCTAAGAACGGAATACAGCTGTAAATCTTGGAACACCCATGAACCAAGGATGACATGGTCAGGGGCCACGGCTCGGACAACCTTTAAACTGCCTTAGCCACCTCTCAGCCACCTCTCAGCCACATTGGTTAAGGTCACATTCCGTATTTTACGTGTTTCACAGCCTTGCCTTCATATTACTTTTCTGGGGATAGGATTCAAATGTGGCTTGGACTAATTGACCGGTGTCACAAGTTAAGTTGCTCAGGGTCTTGGATTTACCTACCTAGGTAGGTACGGGGCTACTAATATGATTAAGTAATCCAAATGAAACGGGGTAAGGTGTTGAACCAGTTCAAGAACAACCTTTTTCGAAAAGGGTCAATTGGACGAACCAGAGTATACAAAATAATACAAGACACACAAAAGCAAAGCAAAAAGAACAAAAAAGAAAGAAAGAGAGAGTCTGGACTCGAGTAAGTTTGGTACCTGTCGGATGTCGATGGGTCCACTCCACCAATTCAGGAGGAAAAAGGCGTTGAAATGCAGAAAATAGTGCGGCTTCGTTTGGGTCGCTGGAGAAACTGTTTTCCAGGGACTCTTCGGTGCATCTAGAATCGTTGTAGTAAGCATCTAGTCCAGTAATCCAGTAAATCCTCTAGCCCTCTACTGTTCTGGAGTATGTATATTCCGTGTAGGAGCCTGCATACTGCGTAATATGTGTGACCCGCCCCATGGTATGTGGACAACTCTGAACCCCAGATGTGCCCCTACTTTCTTTCCCGTCTCGACTCTGGCCTTTTTTTCCTTCTTCAACTTTTCTGTCACTCGTTCCTTATTCCCTCTCTTTTCTTTTTCTCGAGGGTTGCATTTACTGTACTCCGTACGGTCGCTGCCATAACACATTCCCTCGATTCCCACCCCCGCTTGACAATTCGGAAGACCGCGGGATAAAAATACAACTACGAACATTGAAATACAAAGAGGAATCATCGTCAATCTTTAATTCGACTCGACTGGTTCGAACAGTCTGCCTGACGGTCGGATGCCCCTGTTGAGGCTTCCCTGCATCTAATCACGTCTCCTGACGAATCCCGGCTTGGGGCCAACCAAACTGCCAAGCCCCAGAAGCACACGAGCCTCCGGGTGTTTCAATCTGCCCTTTCCCCCCGTGACGGGCCTATTTTCCACCGGTCTTTATAAAGTGAAAGCCACCATCAGGTGGTCACACCGTCACCGTGTCTTTCCCAACCCATTCCGCCGACCTGAGCTCCACCACGGAGCCTCTCGGCAAGATTCCTTCACACGGGTCGCGCGCTTCTCTCTTGGGGGGGTTCTTTCGATCCCGCCTTTCGACGAGGGCCAGGAGGGTTCCGCGCACGAGAGGGATATTCTAACGTCACTCCTGCGACCCATAGCCCCAGGATGTATCTCCCAAATACACATTGGACGTGGTCCTTTGCGATCATCACACTCGTCCAAACAGTCGTAACACTCGGCCTTGAATGGTATTGGACTCCGTCAAAGCGAACATCTTGGAAATCAACATTAACATCGCCGTTTTTCTAGTTACATCTTCGCAAATTTTCAAATGCAAGAACTCCCAAACAACAGTCCCGCTTCGAAAACCATCCCTACTTTCCTCGCCCTCTACGGTTTCGGTTTCCTCTACGAACTGGTGCTGGTATACGATGCTCTGCGCATGAAGAATACAATTCAGATCATCGGACTGTGTATCTGCAATGTTGGCCTCCTGATCTACGGCGCTGTTCAAGTGAAACAAATTCAAGAGGCAGTCTCCACCTTGGCCCTGATGAATATGATCAGTCCGGTTGTCTGGGCTCAGTCCGAGCCGTTCCTAATCATCATTCCATGCATCGTGGCATTAGGGACATTATTGATGACTTTTGTCGCTTATAAGCTATACGATGAGTTTGCGTGGACGATCTACAAGCATATCAGTGCTGATCTGCAAATGAAGCGTCGCTATCTCACCTACCAGGTTTGTGTTTCGCTCGACCTCCCCATCAGCAACACGACTAACCGGTCGTGTATCAGATCTATATCGCTCTCTTGAAATTCGATTTCTTCTTCTTCCTGGGCTTTACTGTCCAGTTCCTCGTCTTGGTGTCCTCAACCAGCATGGATGCTGAATTCGCGCTTACGGTGGCTGCCATCCCCGTGACCATTATCATTCTGGTCTGTGGCGCCTGGTTTGTGCGACGAGAAACCATGGTTGGCATGATAATCATCATCGTAAGTCCACAATACCAGCAAATTTGACTTCTAGCTCTAACGATTTTGCCAGCTTCTCTTATTCGCTGCGATGGCATATTTCTGCTTCAAGCTGTTCCGAATGTACTCGCCGCTGACATACTTCAAATACCTACCCGCTCGACCATCGATGACCTTCTTCGCCGTCATCACTATCATCTTGATTGTCATCACTATCATCAACGCCTGCCTGTGCGTCCACAACTTCAACCGCGGTTTGAAGCCCCATATCAACAAGAAGAGGAACAAGGAAGCAGAAAAGACAACCGAGCTCTCTTCAAACCTGACCCAAGTACCATCACGGATGATGATCGACTGATCACCCCGGTGGGGGAAAAAGGGTGTTTCTATAAGTAATTTCCCGGGGCGTTGAATTTTGGAGCGTCGTGTCTTTTATTAACTGTGAACCTTCGTGTCTGTGTGGACACCTTGACATTTAGCCTGATCTCTTTGTGCATTTTGCTTTCTTGCTTCTGGGCTTTCGTATGATACCTCATCTCCGTCGAATGTGCTCTGCCCACCATCTCCCATTCTTCCTGGCTTCTGAGCTGTCCAAAATTCCTGTGATTCTACTTTCCTTGGTTCCCTATACATGTTCATATCCATACCCCATACCCCATACCCCCTGCACGAGTGCACCGACGGCGTTATCTGAATGATTTGATTCCCGGAGGTGTTCTCCATGTCTTACGACAGCCATCAATGCTTTTTTCCGACGAATGTGAACTAATCTTTCTTATTAATTCAATGGACTAGACGCCTGGATAGTATTTTAGTAGCTGCTATATTAATAGAATTGATTCCACATCATATCTCAAGTGTCCTACATGTACTTCATGAAGAGAGTGGTATCGAAAAATGGGTAATGCTATTCACTGTCATATACATGTATACATAAAATCATAGCCTATTTGTACATACACTCATACTGACGATATTTACCTAGGTACATATGTATGTTGTATTCACTCGCTAAGGTCTCGTAGATGGGTTGTGCTATTGCAGCGATGCGCCGAGTCGTTCTGATTGGTGGATCTTTCTGTACTGTAAATACCGGTAATTATCACCTAACTCGCCCCCAACTGCCGGGGTTGACAAGTCAAATACGGTATTACCCAAGAAACCGCGATCGTGGCCTCAACTCCGCAAACCTCCTTTCAGACCCTCTCAAGCTCCTCCTTCCCTTTCTTCTTGAACTGCCAT